ATATATATATATAGGCTTTCCATGGAAAAGTCTGATTATATATATATATATATATATATATATATATATATATATATATATATATATATATATATATATATATATATATATATATATATATATATATATATATATATATATATATATATATATATATATATATATATATATATATATAATATATATATATATATATATATATATATATATATATATATATATATATATATATATATATATATATATATATAATAATCAGGTAAATTGGAAAAAAAAAAACTAAATTAATTTTTTTTGTTTTTATTTAAAAAGAGAAATAGTTTTAAACTTGAAAGTTGCCATCCTTGTTGAAATTACATCATGTAAGAAGTTTTTAAAGAATAAATAAATAAAAAACATATTTAAGTTTTTTTTATATGTAAATAAAATTCCATAGTTATATAAAAAATATAAGTAAAAAACATTGATAAAGTTTACACTATAATTATAGTTTTAAAAGGTAATGCGCTGCTAACAAAATTTTTTGTTTAATTGCTTGTTTTGCATTTAATGTTGGATGTTGTTAATATTGAAATTTAGAACTTGTGGAATTTTTAGTATTGGCGCATTAGTTTGGGCACCTGTATTGGTCTAATGGCAAGGGATTATGTTTGGGTACAGCACTGTTGTAAAATAGTGGATGGATGGCTTATACTTTATAAAAAGGTGATGGAATGGCATGCAACAATATATGTATATATATATATATATATATATATATATATATATATATATATATATATATATATATATATATATATATATATATATATATATATATATATATACATACATATATATATATATATATACAGGACACCACAAATCAACGTATGTCTATTTTTTGTGGTTCCAAGAAAATCAAGTTTTAAAATTTAATTTGTTAAGACTTACTGCCAAAATGTCCAACTTGCTTTTTAAATATTTTTATCGTTCTTGAGAATAGATTTATTTTGGACAAATACTCGATTGGTTGTTGAATATTTATTGATAATAAACAGAAAAAACAAAATGTGACCATAGAGCCTTTTGGTTCTGGGCTGACGATTTGCAATTACTTAAAAAAAACTTAACAATTGCTTTCTTCGTGCTTTTTTTTTTAAATTTTTTTCCTTAATGTGAAGTAAAGTTTGTTTGCATATTAAAAAATATTAAAAAAGTTTAAAAATAATTTTCAAGTTTTGCAAAAAATGCATAATCTAATAGAATATATAAAGTTATTATGTTTATTATAGTTTTAATTTTTTATTGTGCATTTAACAACACCAATAATATGATATTTTTAATAACTTATTATTAAATACTTAATATACTATTATTTTTTAAGTTTTTAAAAAAATGTCAAAACAACTAAGCATCTTTTCGATGTTAAAGAATGATGGTACATTGGAGCATAGCATTAAATGCAAAAGAGAAGAAGAGAGAGAAGCTGAGCATGCGAAAAAAAAGTGCAATGACTTGGATTGTGCTATGACTTTGGGTAAATTGGATATATGGCCAAAAGATATTGAATTTATGTTTTGGAATACCGTAAATGGATTGCTGCCAAGCAATAAAAAACACAGGCAACAACTAAGCTGGATTCATATTGACAAATCAAATGAATGTTTCTCTTGTTGGGTTTGCCAAAAGTATCTAAATGTTAGCAATGCAACCAATTCAGTAACAATGTGTACCAATTCAGTAACAGTAACAATGATCTAAATTTCGGAAAAGAACATTCTTGTTACACAAAGATTATGGGCATAAAGCCTGTATTTTTAAATATCGAGAGAACCTTCACAATATAGCTCCAATTCTTGAGAAAACTGTATTGACATCAATTTCAAGAACTACTGAGAATAACCAAGAAAATTTGAACAGACTTTTTCAAAAATGGTATTTTGTTGTTAAAGAGAATCTTGCATTTAAAAAATTTCCTCAGTTGTGCGAGCTACAAAAGCAATTAAGTTGAGCAAGAACTACATGAAAAAACTTTGTTTCATGACTTAGGATGCGACTTAAGTTTAGACGTATCAAATGCTCGTTTTATTACAATTTTATCTGACGGTTATACTGATAAGAGTATTAGTGAAGAAGAAACAGTTTTTTTTAAGGTTTGTTAAAAATGGTAATCCAATAACTATATTTGCTGTTATTAACTCACCACTGACAGTTGATGCCGATGGTATATTAAATGCAATAGAATTTGTTTTAAAAAGTTTAACAACAGAAAAAATGAATCAAGATTTATATTTAAACAATATCTATGCAAAAACTCTAAATGTTAACTTAGATGGTGCATCTGTAATGTCTGGCAATAAAGCTAATGTTCAAACTAAAATGTAAAATAAAAACCCCAGTATAGTATATACCTACTGCATGGCGCATAGATGAGAACTTTCTGTGTTCTCAATAAAGTTTGATATAATTTAAGATACAAATGTTAACGTCCGTTTAAAAAAACAATTTGTTGCGCCCTGATATATAAATATGTATTTATTAGTGATGTACCGATAGCACATTTGTGGCCAATGCCAATGGATGGGAAAAGGCTGATACCGATATTGATACCTATGATTTAACAAATTATTAAATTAAAAAAAATATATATATATATACAACTTTAAATCATGTTAACTTTTTCATTGAATCTGTACTGGTAAACAAATTCTTGGACCCAAATCAGAGCCAAAACATTATTTCAAAAGATATTAGAAAAACTCAGTCAAAAAATTATTTTTTATCTACATTTTTATTTTTTTTTTTACCTAAAGAAAAGTTTCAAAAAATAAATACAATTTTAGAAGGAACATTTCTTATTTTGATTTTAAAAAGAAAATGGTACTAAGATAAGCAGTTTACTTAGAATTCTTTATTAATTTGTTATGCGGTAGTGGTGTAGTGGTAGAGCGCTCGCTTCATAAACGAGTGGTTCCGAGTTCGATCCCCACCACGTCCCTGGTAGTACCGCGCTCAACTTGTTTCTCTGCGCAGCGGCCTTGTTTGTCAAGGTTCGTGTTTCGGAGTTATAGAGTTGAGAGAGGGTTATAGCCACAAAATAAGTAGCCTCCTCGTCTGTAGTGGCCTTCTCGGCCTTGAGGAGGTGAAGTATAATAAAAAAAAAAAAAAAAGTTTATTCTTAATTTACATACCTAAACAAAAATCATGTAGAAATATAGAAGTTTGTACTTGAACACTTATAGATAATTACTTTTTAATTGCTTCCAGAAAGTTACTTTTAAGTGTAACAATTGAACAACACAAAATAAAAACATTATTATGAAAGTATAAGTGCATTCAGCTGGTAAATTAAAGCTTATAAACATCATTTTAAGAATAAACAATAATAAATAAATAAATTTGTCTGTAAACAAAGTCAAAATAAACCATTTTTCAAAAATATATCAGTGGTGTACCCTCATGATCGTCCGGTGGCACTGGACGACTCGTTTTCTCCAAGGGCCACTGAAATTTTAAAAATGTGTCAGTAGCCTTGCAGGACGACCAGACAATTAGTCACTTAAATGAGTGTGTTTATTAATAAAACTGTATTTTAATTGAAGTAGAAAAGAAAAATAGAGTGGATATTCAAATCTAGAAAATCTAGAAAAATAGAGTGGATATTCAAATGGTATTTAAAACTTATTAAGGAACTTAAAAAACTTTATAAAACCATACTTTATCAAAAGTTTAGCATTTTGAAAAATGTTACTAATGATCCGTAAAAATGCTCATTAATTTTAAAATCAACTAATAAAAACTTTTTATTGGTTGATTTTAAAATTACCGGGTGTTTTTACCAAACTTTTTATAAAGTACATTTTTATAAAGTTGATTAAGTATTTTTAAAAGTTCCTAAAGTTTTTAATAATATTTAAATATCCACTTTGTATTTTCTAGATGCTTATCTACTTTTATTAAAGTTTGGAATTACTAATGTTGTTTGAACAAAGAATGCACTTTAAAAGTTACTTTGTAAAAGTACTTTATAAAAGTAATATCACTATTATAGTTTTATTACTTTTATTATTCAGTTAGTGACAAGAGTGTTGTTACTTTTGCAGTCGTAAGGTTTTTGTTTTGTTTTTTATAGCTTTTTCCCTAACTAACTTAAAATAATTTGCTCCTTAAAAACAAAGTACACAGCTTTGCATAAATTAAAATTTTAAAAATTTCACCCGAGAAAAAATACAAAATAATTTTTTTTACACTAGACTACTGATTATCATAGCAGACAACTTAAATGAGAAATAAAAACTGTTTTAGATGCCCTGTAGGCGACTGAGAAAAAACTGGAGGGTACACCACTGTATTTATGTATATATATATATATATATATATATATATATATATATATATATATATATATATATATATATATATGTATATATAAATATGTATATATATATATGTATATCTATATATATATATATATATATATATATATATATATATATATATATATATATGTATATATATATATATATATATATATATATATATATATATAAATATATATATATATATATATATATATATATATATATATATATATATATATATATATATATATATATATAGAGAGAGAGAGAGAGAGAGAGAGAGAGAGTTACATACATACATATAAAAATGCAGCATTAGATGCATATAGATGATATCATACAAAAACAGAAAGTTATGGGGGCTTCAGTACATACATTGACTATCTTATAGTCTGCTGCTGCAAAGGAGTGCTGTTACATTGACTAAGGGTTTGAAATTGGGTATCAATATTTTCTTTCATGATTCTTTGTTTTTTCTTTTTTTTCTGAAAAATTAAAGTGCGTATTTTGACATTTAGAGCGGAAAAAGTTATTTATATTTGATATTGTCATTGGTCATATCCAATAAGGAATTGATTGGAATGAAAAATAAAAAAATTGAATTTAATATTGTAATCTTTTAACAAATTTGTAACAACTTTGATTTTTATTTTTTAGGTTGTTTGCTTTTATAATCATGCTTCGACGCTTCATCTTCTAATATCTAAAGGTTCTGCTGATTTTCTTAAAAGATCCCCAAATAATGGATGGGTCCCGCTCCATGAAGCTGCAATGAGGGGGAGCTTGGAATGTATTAAAGTTTTATTATCATTTAATGCATCTATGTATCCAAGAAGCTTGGATGGTGATACACCAAGAGATTTAGCGCTTCAATATGAGAATTACAATGTTGTGGAGTTCTTCGGTATTTCTTTTGAACAGTTCTGTGTGTTTAAAAAAAAAGTCTTATTAATATCTTTTTAACAAGGCTACACAAGGCAAAACTGGTTTGTATTAGACAAAGTTGTTCTTGTCTTGAAATTTCTTGAATTTATCAAGTCAATTGATAAATTTATAAAAGTCACAAGTTAAAAAGAAATGCCAAGACTTTTCTAGTTATTTTTTTTAACAATGCAAGTATTGAAATATTTTAAATTTGTCAAATTTTTGGAAATATAATTTTTTTTTTTTTTAATATTTAGTTTGCATAATCAGTTTATAATGCATACAGCTACATATAACATATAACTAGGTTAATTAATATAATACATATAGCTACATATAACAGGTTAATCATAAACTAGGTTTCCGAAGGAATATCCTATGGGTCTTGCTGTCAGAACCTTAGTAAAAGCACATCATTAAAACCATAGTAATAATGATATAAGAATGTAAATAGGTAACATAAAACAGTTAGAAGTAACTTAGTGTGTTATTCATTTTGAAATCCTTGTTTGTTTTTTCATTTGCATACAATTCAGTTTTTAAAAAATTTGTTTAACTGCATATGCTATAATGATTAGAGTCACAAGTTAAAACTGCTGACAAGTTTTTAAAATCTTTAATAACTAAGAGGAAATTTTGTTACTTTGATCATTTTTTTTTCAATGATTGGAAAGTTGTATATACAATATCTTCCAAAATTGATTTACAGTAATTTTTAACTCTTTAATTTCCTAGAAAAGCATTTTCTTTTAGAATATGAAGCAAACACTAATTTTGGAGGGTAGTGTGACACACTATCAATCAACATTAATGTTTGCTTTATACTCTTTATACACAATGTATATATATAATGAATAAGTGTATATATATTAAATGGAAATAAAATAATTAAAAAAATTGAGGAAACTAATTAAATTTTGTTTTTTGAAAAACTACAAAAATGCAACTTTAATAAAGAAGTTTTTAAATTTGTAATTAAGAATTTTTTTTGTTTTATGTTGATTTTATTATTATAATTTATTTTTTCTTGTAGTTTTGTTTTTACTAATTATGTACATTTATGCAGTAGTAGTGGTAAAACAGGTTAAAATCCATCCTACTGCTTTCTGTGTTAAACCTGTTTCTCCATGCAACTTGTCTTGTTTGTGTTTTAGAGTTTAGGGTTAAATAAGAGCTTATCTTAATATAAAAATTGATTTTACAGATAATTATCCAGTAAACCAACCAAAAACATCTATTACACAATGGTTACACCAGAATCTAGACAGAAACGTAAGTTTTTTTAAAAATAATTTAATGTAAATAAAATGTAGTGGTTTACATGATATGTTACAATATTTTTTGTGTGTGTTCTTTGTTCTTGTTTACAAATAATTGGAGGATAAGTTTATTTAAAGTTTCTTACTTTTTTAAAATCTTGATTTCATTAATTTTTAAACTTCAAAAGTATCTATGGGCATTATAAAATAAATTTTTTTGTTAGAAAAATAGTTGTCTTGAGAATATCTAGTGAAGAGAGATTCTACAGGAGAATATCTAGTGAAGAGAGATTCTACAGGAGAATATCTAGTGAAGAGAGATTCTACAGGAGAATATCTAGTGAAGAGAGATTCTACAGGAGAATATCTAGTGAAGAGAGATTCTACAGGAGAATATCTAATGAAGAGAGATTCTACAGGAGAATATCTAGTGAAGAGAGATTCTACAGGAGAATATCTAGTGAAGAGAGATTCTACAGGAGAATATCTATTGAAGAGAGATTCTACAGGAGAATATCTAATGAAGAGAGATTCTACAGGAGAATATCTAGTGAAGAGAGATTCTACAGGAGAATATCTAATGAAGAGAGATTCTACAGGAGAATATCTAGTGAAGAGAGATTCTACAGGAGAATATCTAAAGAAGAGAGATTCTACAGGAGAATATCTAGTGAAGAGAGATTCTACAGGAGAATATCTAGTGAAGAGAGATTCTACAGGAGAATATCTAGTGAAGAGAGATTCTACAGAAGAATATCTAGTGAAGAGAGATTCTACAGGAGAATATCTAGTGAAAAGAGATTCTACAGGAGAATATCTAGTGAAGAGAGATTCTACAGGAGAATATCTAGTGAAGAGAGATTCTACAGAAGAATATCTAGTGAAGAGAGATTCTACAGGAGAATATCGAGTGAAGAGAGATTCTACAGGAGAATATCTAGTGAAGAGAGATTCTACAGGAGAATATCTAGTGAAGAGAGATTCTACAGGAGAATATCTAATGAAGAGAGCATCTACAGGAGAATATCTAGTGAAGAGAGATTCTACAGGAGAATATCTTGTGAAGAGAGATTGTACAGGAGAATATGTAGCGAAGATAGATTGTACATGAGAATATGTAGTGAAGAGAGAGAATATGTAGCAAGGAGAGATTGTACTAGAGAATAAAAAAAAAATTTAAATAATAAAAAATAATTCAAAAGTTGCAAAAGTTAAATAATCTTTATTCTTAAATGATCGCTGTCCCTTGTTTGGTTGTGTTTTAAATGATCATTGTCTAGTCCCTTGTTTGGTTGTTGTTGTTTTTTTATTTGTGTGCTTTTGTGTCTGTAAAATTAATTTTTTTATCTAGTTTTTATTTTTAATTTTATGCTGGTGAACCTTTAGGGGGCTTTGATTATTTTACAAAATGCTTCAATGGCTGATGGAAGTTTTCTTATAAGAAGCAGTATAAAATGTCATGGATATTATGTTTTGACACTTGTATATGAAAAAAAGACTTACCATTTTCAAATTAAAAGCAGGGTAAGTAAAATAATTACATTTTTCTATTAACATTTTTGAAATGCTCAGAAGAAATCAACTGTTTCTATATTTAAAAAATTGAGCAAGGCATGGCAAATTTTTCTAGTTTTTTTTAATACTTGGCTGATCCTTTGATATCAAAGAGATTGAAAATGTCCCCAAAAAAATGCTAATTTGACCCAGAGTAACTAGAAAATGGTGCTGTTCTCAGAAAAAACTTAATAGTGCAGGGGAAACAAAGTTTGAGGGTGCAAAAGAGTAAATGAAAACTAACTGCAGCCCATACCCTGCTTTTTCTACTCAGAACCTGACAAACCTTTTTCAGTAGAAATAATGATTAAATAATGAATACTGAAAAATATAACGCAATGTTATATGAATCTTTGGTTGAAATATAAAGCAATCTTATATGAATGTTTGGTTGAAATACAACGCAATGTTATATGAATGTTTGGTTGAAATATAAAGCAATGTCATATGAATGTTTGGTTGAAATATATAGCAATGTTATAGAATGTTTGGATCAAAAGCCAGAAAAAGTTAAAGCCAACAACAAATCAATGTTCCAGCAAGATTTAGTTAAATTATAATATGGCCTTTTTATCATTGCAAGAAATTAATGCAAATAAGTTTTGTCTGATGCTAAGATCCATTTTGCCTCTGAAGTTAGGACCTAGAGACTTTTATTAAATATTTAACAATGTTGTTAACATAGGCAAGTCTAACATTCATATCTCCATGATAAGACGATTATTTGCAAAGAACTTTTCCTCTGGTTTATGTCTTGCATCTAATGACCTAGTCTCTTTGTTATCCCAAAGAAACAAGTTCTCCACTATTAGGCATCTACTATTAGATATTGAAATCCCTCCTGTTTCAGTTCTCTAAATTATTTCTCACTTGAACTCCTATTGTTGAACTACAGTTTGTGGTCACACTTACAAAAAATTTGTAGTGTTTCAAATATATAGAGTTACAAAAAATGTAAAGTGTTTTTATTAGCTGATGACATGACCTAATACTTCAATTTGGCAAAAAGTCATCACTTTTTGATTGCTTAAAAAAGGCTGAACCCCTCCCCAATCTTTAATCCAACCTTGAATGTGATTTCTGTATCAGCTTGAGGCTTGCAGTGGTTGTTGAACTTAACAAAAGTAATTATTTTTAGATTGTTTAGAACAGGTGAAATGGTTACCGGTGAAATTTAACCCAAACAAAACTTGTTTACTGCTAATAGTTGCAGTGTTATTGATATTCTTATATCGATGAAAGACATTGCTCTTACTGAGGCCTCTATTTTATGTTTTCTCAGACTTTTCTTAACTACTGACCATTTATGTAAGCCATATACACAAAGTTAATATTTGCAAGGGTTATCCTTTTTATCATGTGTGCAATTTCATTTCTTTTAATTCCATTCTTGGCCTCTGTTATCTCATCTCTTTTTTTTTATTTATTTTGGTATGCAATAAATACTGTTGTCATTTGAGTTGTCATTTGAAGTAGTATATATTTTACTAAAACAATTTTTAGATTTTAGTTTTTTTGTAATTTATAATTATAACAATAAATATTAAGACAAGTTCCCACTGGTATCTGCTCTTTTGTAGAATGGTTAGTTGTTTTAATTTAATATGTTATTATTTTTGCCTACATATGTAAATCTAAACTTTACTTAAAATAACTTATGTAACTCTAAACAAATACATAACAGAAACAAAGCTGATGCTAATTTGATCTCCAAAACAATTGCATGTTTTTTTTCTGGATCAAGCTCTCCTATCAATCAAGAACTTTTTCATATTGTATCAAATGTAATCCATGTTTGTAAATGTAACCAGCTATCTAAATTTTTTTCAGACTAATAAGAAAAACTTTCAATCAAAACTTCTTATATGTTTTAGTTCTTCTCACAGTTTGAAAAAATTTTACTTTTTTTGCCTACTAAGTATCCTAAAGTTATATGTATAAAAAAAGAAAAAGAAAGTCTTTTTGAAAAATGATGCAGAAAATTCTTGTCTATCATTGTTTGTGGCATTTCTCACAACTGAAGTGATAAAACTCACAGTGCAAAGCAGTTTGTGCAGATTTTTTGGAGGGTCCTGTGGGTGCAGAACAAGTTGCTTTATTTGTTATTACATTGAAGAAAACATCTCCTTATGGAACAATTTGTCTAGGTCAAGATCATGGCAAATCTCTTCCGATATGTATAGTTATTTTATTACATACATCCTGAGTTATAAAATTGAAATGTGAAGTAACTGGCTCAGTCACCCTTGTATGCGTACGAACGCGTACAGGGGGAAGGGGGTGTTAAAGACAGTGAGTATGTACGCGGTTTGACTATCTCTCCTAAACTTGATTTTTTTTTTTAAAAAAAAAACATTGAATTTCGCGTGTGTAACAAATCAGAATTGTTTTTTTTTCTGACTTCAGTCACAATTTTTTTTTTAAATTTGTTTATAAATAATGAGGAGAGAAAAAAGAAATCGAGTTAATTTTGAAAAAAAAAAAATGCTTACGTACGCGGAGGGGGGTGGCTTCGATAGCGTGCAGGTTTGTACAAGGGAAAGGGGGGTCCTAAATCATTGGTTTTACTGCATACATACTATATGGATGCCCCCTAACAAAAAATGTGGTTGGTATTCAGCAGAGTACTGGACTTTCAAACAATGAAATAAAAAAACTTGAAATCTATTTTAAATCAAATTGGTTTAGTTCAGCTTCTTGAGCACAATTTTCAGCAAAAATATGCATCAGCAGGATCTATTCTGAAGGATTTTTTCATTGCCACTAATGTAAAAATGCCAGATTCAAATGAGTTTGTGACATAATTCATTGCATCAATTTAAAAACCCTGAAGGAAAACATCACACTTTCAAAAGATTTCTTAAGCTTTGATGTTTTTACTTTTTCAAAGTTAGCTTTGAAAAAGGAGCCTCTACTATCAATGCCAAGTTTTAACAGAGTCTAATGCCTTGCTTTAACAGAGTCTTATGTCTAGCTTTAACGGAGTCCAGTACTAAAGTCAATTAAGATGGCTTTAAGTGATAATTATAGCAATCTCTGAAATCACCCCGAAAATATTTTGCAGTATCAAACTGATTAATACTGACAAATAAAATATTTATTTACAAAAAAAATCTCTTCACTATTTTAAAAAAGTAGGGGGAGGGGTTTGAACTTTCACTCTAAACTTGGCCCTACACTATTTGCTGAAAAAGCATTCTAAAATATATCTAAATAAATAAAAATTTTTGATATGAAAAAAAAAGTAAAATCTTTACATATTGACACTACAAACCAATTTACCTGTTACTTATGTTTTTTCATTGTTGGAAATAATCAAAATCTGAAATAATCATTTATTGCAAAGATAATTACACAAAATAACAAAATCAATATAGCTATAAACGCAAGTATTTATTGTAATTTAACCAAAAAATAAAATTATTCTTACCTTGATTTATATATAATAGTTTCTTTTTAAACTATTATCTAATGATCAACATAGTAGATTTTAAATAATGAAAGTTTACTAAGTTAAAAACATATTTAAACAGTAAATTAATTAAACTTATGATAGTTGGTAGAGCACCAAAGTAGAACTAATAGAAATAAAATAACAATTAAATTCAAAGTGTTCGAAATACATAATATTTGCAGTTAAACATAAAAAATAACTATCATCATGAGATAAAGTCAAGATAAAGGTAAAATTATAAAAACAAACACACACAAAAAGTAAAATGCTTATTTTTATTAAAAATACAACCTTTTTAAATAAAAACATTAATGTTTTCATGAACAAATAAGGACGCATCAATAAAGATATACACAGTAAAAAATTGATTTTTAATTTTTTTGTAAGTACTTATGCGGTAGTGGTGTAGTGGTAGAGCGCTCGCTTCATAAACGAGTGGTTCCGAGTTCGATCCCCACCACGTCCCTGGTAGTACCGCGCTCAACTCGTTTCTCCGCGCAGCGGCCTTGTTCGTCAAGGTTCGTGTTTCGGAGTTATAGAGTTGAGAGAGGGTTATAGCCACAAAATAAGTAGCCTCCTCGTCTGTAGTGGCCTTCTCGGCCTTGAGGAGGTGAAGTAAAATAAAAAAAAAAAAATAAATAAATAAAAAAAAATAGATACCCCCTAATTCAGTGATTATTGTTAGTTAGATACTTTAGTGCTGTAGTGTTGTATTGTTAGTTAGATCTTTACTGACAATAAAATCTTTACTGACAAAAATCTTTACTGACAATAAAATGTTATTTTGACATGAAAAATCATAAACACCGTCACAGCAAATCGTTTTAATATTTTGCATGTTCTGATGAATAAAATTTTGATGGTGTTAAATGCAGAAACAGAATGTATATTTTGTTTGTAAATAAATTTAATTATTTACAAACAAAATTTAAAAAAAAAGATCAATAAAAATATACATATTAAACTAAAAACATTTCACTGCATCTACTATTTGTAGATGTAGTTAAGTAATTTTCCCAATCCACTCTAACTCTAACCACTTTACTTTCAGTAATGGTAATTTCTTTCCTTTTAATGAACTAAGGGAAAATCTTTTCCCCTATTCCGGGCCCACATTCTGTGTGGACTATAGAATGTAGGCCCTTTTTAATATCTCAATAACATATAAATGCTTCATAAGATAAACTTAAAAGTAAAAAAAGTAACAACTGAAACAGGTATTTTAGTTTCATACTTTAATATAAAACCTACAAACTATTTATTTACCAGTTACAGATAGGGGTTGTGCAGCGGCATTGCATACCAACCCCCGGAAATTGCATTTCTGGAATCGCTACAACTTAAGCTTATGCAAAACAAGTATTGTTGAACCCCTAACCAAACCCAAACCCTGAAACTTAGGGTAAGGCTCTGGGTTTGGTTTAGGTTTGGCTTAGGGTTTCGTTTGGGTATTGCTTTCAATAAAATAAACTTTATTTTTGGTTTAGGGTTAGAGTATAATTTTCAATAAATGTTATGCGTAAAACATTTTTACAGACTTACTAAAAGAGTGCCTAGTGGTAGGAATTGAACCAGGGCCTCCCCATTAGAATCACCATGTACTATCCACTGGATTACGTAGACATGTTATTCAGTAAAGGTTTTAAAAGTATATAATATTAAATAAAAGACTTTATAAAATGGATATCGGTGCTACAGATTAAATCATAAGGATATATTGCCGCAACGAATTTTCAAGTGAAAGTAAAACTATAAAACTTGATATATGTTTTAACATCACATAATTTTAAGTTTACATAAGTTAGATGTTTGCATACACTTTCGTTGACTTCGCTTTTAATCAAAAGTGCTGCGGCTCTTTTTTGATATTACCTCAGTTGCAATGGCTGCCAAGAGTACTGTATCAAACAGGCCCAAATGAGTACTGCTAAGTTCCTTATTATAATATATGATAACAATTGGGCATAACCAAAAGTTACATAAACAAGCTGTAATTCAAAAGGCAAGATCCAAAAAATAAAGTTGTCAATACAATCAATATAATATATTGTTTATATATATATATATATATATATATATATATATATATATATATACAGGGGCTATTCTATTCTAGACCCTTTTTTTTTTTTACATATACATACATATATGTGTGTGTGTGTGTGTGTGTGTGTATACATACCTTTCCTTTGTATATATATATATATATACACACACATAGCTTTGCATATATATATATATATATTATATATATATATGTTTATATATATATATATATATATATATATATATATATATATATATATATATATATATATATATATATATATGCACATAGCTTTGTATATATGTATATGAGTATATTATAACTACAGTTTTTTATTTAAGGCTGACAGATGGTTTTATATTGATGATGGTCCATTGTTTGAGACCTTGCCTCATCTAGTTGATCATTATATGCAATATGCTGATGGCTTGCCTACATTACTACGATTTCCTGTTCCCAGTGCTGAAAATAGGAAACGTCCTCTTCCTCCTACTCCAACTAAAAACCAACTCAAGCTTCCTGTACCTCCTTCGGTAACTTTTTTGTAATTTTTAACTTTATAACTCGTTTTTTTTAAATAAAGTAATTTTTTTTATTATTGTTTTTAAAATTATTTGCTAGAGACCAATCAAAAATAACAATGGACTGCCACAGCCTTTGCCGTATCCTGAGGTAGCCAGTTACAAATGTAATTGAGTTACATTTTTTATGATAAATTATAACATTCTTATTAAGTTATTAAAGTGTAAAAAATAAAAATTAGTATTTGTTTTTTTTTTTTTTTTTTACAATCAGTTTACAAATGAAAGTGACTCTGATACATTTACTCGTTTGGAATGTGAAAAAGAAAAACCGTTGCCTAAATTACCTCGTCCAGTTGTTAATCACACTGAGGTACCAAATAGTGTAAATGTAGGACAAAAGGGTGATCAAACAAGTAATTTTTATTATCATTATTATTTGTTTAATTATTTTCTTATTTGAAAGTGATATTTTATGGCAGTATTATTTTCTAAAAAGAGCTGTTCTTAAGTAACTCGAATCGTACAGTAAGCAGTTTTCTGGCTTTGTGTTAAAATTTAAATTTAAATTTTATTTTTAAACAATCAGTGAAAAACAATGCACAACAAAACATTATATTAAAAGAATCAATAAGCTTTGGTAAGGAGCTGGGAGTTGGGGAGTTTGGTTCAGTTATTAAAGGAATATGGCTGAGTCCAGGAGGAAAAGAGGTATTAATACAATTTTTTTTTTGCAGTAACTTTTGCAGTTTTGATGTTTTGTTATCAATATATTGAAATGTATTACCAAGATTTTGCTGTATAACAGGAAAAGCCTAAAGCAAGCAAATGTAACTTTTCATAATATACATATTTATATTGTTAAAAGTCAAATTATGTCAGTTGCATATATTATATCAAATTATGTCAGTTGCATATATTAAAGTACTGCATTGTAATTATATTCAATTTAAAACTGCGTTAAAAATCATTTAAAGTCTTTATAAATTATTTTAAAAATATATTTAAATTAAACAATATTTTTATTTATAAAAATATCAATAAAATTTAAATGTTGTTTGAAAAAAAAAATAATTAAATTAAAATTTATTTTTTTAATAAAAACTTATTTAAACGTATACTTCTTAAAACATTTATAACAGACAATATTATTTACTTTTGCTTTCTCGTCTTACATTTTGTCTTACATTTCTCATCCTACATTTTGTCTTACATTTGCTTTCTCACAACTTAGTTGTTGTTTTTTTTTTTAATGAGGGGGCATTTGTTTATGGGTGAATTTCTTAACGGTTAATTATTAACAATTTTTTTTAAAAACATTTTTATCAAAATCTTTGCCTAATACTCATAAACTAGCAAATCATTTCTAATCAATGTTCATTCTATGATCAATCTAAAAAGATTAATAATATTTAAAAACTTTTGGTTAAAAGCAATTTCAAAACTAAGAAAATCATCTTTTCATTAATTTGTTATATAAAGTTTACAAAAAAAGTTGTAAACTTTATATAACAAATTAATGAAAAGATAATTTTCTTAATTTTGAATTAATTTTGCCTACAGGCTTGATTATGGTTTATCTGGTAATTTATATACAGTTATAAGTATGTTGAGCACTTTTTCATATTAGCACCTTCGTAATGGGATAAATAAAGTTTATTGATATGAAACTATATATAAATAAACAAAACAGTTGAATATAAAACAAACATAAAAAAGTAACTTAAATTAAATTTGATAAAAAAATTGGAAAATAGTGAAGTAAAAAAAAAAATTAGTAAAACTTTTACTACTTTCCATTTTTAAAAAATTAAAATATTTTTTAGAAAAAATAAAAAAAAGTTTATTAAACTATCTGCTTTTTTATCAAAAAAAAAGTAATTTCAAAAGGCACTTTAAATATTCCAATTAAAAGTTTTGGCTTAAGGCATGGTAAAATTGCCATTTTGTCAAATGCAGCAGTGTAACTTTTCTTAACAAGGCCTGAAGCACAATTTGCAATATGTACAGATAAATATAATACATTACATTATACAACTATGCAAAAACATTTTATTATTTCTTAAGTTTTTATGGTTTCCTTGAACTTTCAGAACAGCCACTATTCTTCATGGCACTGAGACAACAAGAAACTCGCAATTTTTTTATTCATGAGTTTACAAAACCTCAAACTTTGTTTACATCTTTTGGATAAAAGTGAGAAATTTTTAAAATTTTTGAGAAAAGCGCATGCTATTGCAGATGCTTTGTATTTCATTTTTTTCCTTTCAGATTTTTTAAAACAAAAATAAAAATCTGAGAAATATTATTAAAAATATGAAGACATTAAACTAGTTACCAATCCTTAGACATCCTAGTTACTGATCCTTGGACATCTAGTAGATGAAATTAAATCTAGTTTTTATCAAATTTAGAGTTAGATAATCAGAGAGTGCAAGACTCATTGTCACTTCCACCCCAATACTTGTACTCCTAGTTTTTATTTTAGAAATTTCAAAAGTTTACTAAAATATTAATTATTTTGAATGAATATTCTGAACTAACTGTTGGGCCACTGCAACAGTTTGTGCAACAGCCAGTGCAACAGTTTATGCATAGATATGAAAAAGAGAGTGAAAAGCGAAGTGAAGTCAACTTTCAAAGTTTTGGGTGAGAAAAGAAGTACAATTTCAAAAAAGAAAAACTGTCAGAAAATCTTTCATTTATTAAACTAAAAAACAAAAATATTATAATATAAATAAAATAAATAATATAATTAAAAAAAAAAACAATTTAAAATTCTTAATAGGAAATTTGTGTATTGATTGTATTTTTAGGTTTTTTTTAAATGAAAAATTCTTTAAACTTATAGTTTAATATAATATAAATAATAAATAGAATTAAAAAAAAATTTAATCCTTTTAATTGTCATGTTACTTTAGTTATTATAGCCAACAGTATTAAATATTATATTTAGTTATTATAGTATTTAGAAATTTTATATTATTGTTTTTAGAAACAAAGTTGTCAGATTCAGTATTTCCTTGCCTTTCCTTTTTAATGAAACAAAAACTCTTTCTGCCCTTTGTGTGAGAGTAATATGTTAGAGTACGGGCATTGCATAATTGTTTGCTGCTTTCTAGTGCTCTTACATTTTTCTTTTGTCTCTAATAACATGAGACTTTAGGCCAGTTTTCTTCATCTTCTGCAAAAAAACAAAGTAAACAATTGCAGTGCATCTATAAAGAAACAAGATCCAATAAAAGAATCAATAGTTTTAATGTATAGATTCTGTATTGTTGCACATTTTATTGGTCTACTGTTTAATTTTTGCTGTCCCAGGATATATTGTACAAGTGTCACTATGAGGCATTTAGTTTCCATTTGTACCATGTTTGAAAAGAGACTGAGTAAAGCCATTTTCTACCCCAAATACCTTAATTTAGTGCTTAATAAGACTTGTTTAGTGCTCTAGTTTATTTGATCTTACATACACTAAACATAGACTAAGAGGTCTGGGTTAAGTCAAGGTCATTAAATAAGGCTGGAGTTTGTGGAGGTAGCCTAACCTTTTACATAGATTAAGGAAACAAATAAACTAAACTTAACGCAGTCAACAATTTCACATTTGATTTGGTTTTTTCAAATTTGAGTTTTAAAAGAGAAAAACTTTCATTGTATAAATAAGCTTTGCCATCTATTGACCACAATGCAAAACCCCAGTAACCTAAAAATGTATATCTGAAATGAGTGTTTCCTTCAAGGAGGATCAAAGTTAAATCTAATAAATCTTAATAGTTTTCACTCTGTAAAATTATCTAATTATCTATTACTTATCCATTCAGTACCTGCTAATCAGTTTGAGGCCATGGAATGTTTTTGCATAGTTGCATAATGTAATGTATTGTATATATATATATATATATATATATATATATATATATATATATATATATATATATATATATATATATATATATATATATATATATATATATATATATATAGTATATAGTATATATATATATATAGATATATATATATATATATATATATATATATATATATATATATATATATATATATATATATATATATATATATATATATACACACTATATATATATATATATATATATATATATATATATATATATATATATATATATATATATATATACACACTATATATATATATATATATATATATATATATATATATATATATATATATATATATATATATATACACACTATATATATATATATATATATATATATATATATATATATATATATATATATATATATATATATATATATATATATATATATATACTATATATATATATATATATATATATATATATATATATATATATATATATATATATATATATATATATATATACTATATATATATATATATATATATATATATATATATATATATATATATATATATATATATATATATATATATATATATATATATATATATATATATATATATATATATATATAATATATATATATATATATATATATATATATATATATATATATATATATATATATATATATATATATATATATATATATATGTTATAAAGTGTTACACTGCTATTATTTTTTTTGCGTTTTGTTTGAATCTGTAATAAAACTTAATAAGTAAATGCGCTTAATATTGTGACCCCCAGAAAATGTTTTAAGGGGATGATGATACTTTTATTGGTTTGTTTCTGGGATATAAATCCCAAAATCTGGTTACACCATTAGCCGAGAAAATCAAATTTCAAATTTTGTATAAAACTGCATTAAAGGGACTACCAAGTCCCAAGACATGTTGTGTTCATATTAAAGAGAATGTTTAAAAAAAACGTCTAAGCAAATTTTTTTTGATTAAAACTAATTAATAAATGTATACCAAGAAAAACAAATCTTGTTGTTTTAGTCGAAGCTAGTTTTCTCCTTTTTCTCTGCTATTTTGAGTATGTAAAATAAACGCAATTTTCCAGGCGCATTATACAGACTTGATAATTTATTCAATCGCGTTTAATTCATAGGAGTTTTAGTGCATGACGCCATAGATTTTTTTTTTTGTTTGTTCAAAACACCGATTGTTATTTTTTACATACAATTTCCAAATCATATTCATTTTTATTATACTTTAAAGTTCTAAAAATGTGTTTGTAAAACAAAATTAAAAACAAAATAAAATTAAAAACAAAAATAAAATTAAAAACAAAATAGCATTTTATTTGCGCAACTTTTTTTAAATAATCGTCTAGACCACGTGTATTTTTTTTGTTATAAGTTTTTCTTTCAAAATATTAGATAAAATAATTTTTAACCTAAATAATAATGCATTTTTATTAATTTACTTTGTAAATATTTAAAAAAAAAAATTATTAATGCATTTTTTCTCTGATTTTCAAAAATGTATTTTTTGGTATTGATGTGATCTTATTTCGTTATTTATATTTCCATTATAACATCCAATATATATTATGGCGGGGGCTTAAAAATTAAAAAATTAATATATATTAATTTTTATTTTACAGACATACATGGAAACATAATTAACTTTAATGTTCTTAAAACATCTTGCGGAAGAATAAAAAGAATATTCGCGAACACTAAAAACCCGCCAAATTTGCAAACAAACTAATTCTATTGGTTCAAAAAACACGCTGACTAAGCGAAATAAAGTCCTAGAATATTCTGTTGAAATGTTTTAGGAATTGTATTATTTACGATTTGTTGCGTTTTGAGATATCTAGCATAAATTTTTTTAAGAATATATTATCAAATGAACTATTACTTTAATATTATGGCTCATTCTCGGAGCCACATCTGTAAAGTCGTAAAACTTTTAAACTATTATCAACTATTAAAATAGGAGGAATTTAAATAGGAATTGGTCAATTTTTATAGCAAAGCTATCATCAAGATCAAAAAGATTGATCAAACTTGGAGTGGAAGTTGTGTGGTGGCTAACTTGGAGTGGAAGTTTTTCTCAATCCGATTTAGAATAATTTTATTTTAAATGGTTACCAGCTTTTTCACACCAGAATATTCTAATTAAAATCTAATTAAAATGTTAACTGGAAAATATGAAGTTGAGCTTTAATCTCTCAGGCTTAAACTTAAACAAACTTTTCCATAAGAAGGTGTTTCCTTTTTGGATTACTGATGCTACAACTTTTTCAGCTGACACAGTGTTGTTTTACATGACTTCTGCTAATTTCCTTTGCAGGTTAACTTAAGGAAGTTCTGTGGCAGACCTTTGCCAATCTTTAAAAAACATTGAAAAAATCTTTTAACTGTGTTTAACTGTGTTTCGGGTTACCTCAGATTTTTGGATTGTAAAAAGTTATGCTTTACCAAGTGAGCAAATTAAACAGTTACAAATGAAATCTTGTATAACAGGTTGGGCCTTAATAGTTGAGGAAGCAAAAGATTTGGACTGAGTTTAAAACAGTGACAATCACGTGAAATTTGTGATCATTAAAGTCAATCGGTTGCATTACAGTTTGTTGAACTTTTTCAATTGTAAAACAAGCTAATGAACCTCTGTTCAAGCCTTCTTTTGCTTTTATTTTGCTTTTATTTTATATTTGGTTTTGCTTTTATTTTGCAATATTTGGCGTTATTTTTCATATATTCAGAAACCAAATATTTAAGCAATTTAAACCAAATATTCAAAAACAGAAATATTTATTTTTTAACTTATACTGAAGCAATTTTACAGGAATTTTATTTTACAGAAAGAACAAATTTGATTTTTAAAAATAAAATACGGAGATTTAAATTTTTTTTTTCTAATACCAAATAACTAGACTTCAAAAAACTAGAATTCATATCCCAGTGGCTACCAATATTAGTATGACCATTCCCATAAAAGTTTTCTTAGGGTCATAACATCAAGCGCTTTTTCTTTTTTTTAATAAAGTAATTCCTAATATTCCAACAAATGTTTCTTGTCTCTCCTTATCCTTTTTGTTTATTTGTTTTCATTAGATTAATGTTGCCATGAAAACTTTACATAAAGACAAAATGGTGCAAGGTGAAAAGGTGAGATACTGTATACTTTTTTTTTAATTAATAATTGAGACAATATATTTAATAATATTTATTATTTTATACTTTCTATTTTTACTATTCAAGTTTATTTACTTTTTATCATTTATTTACTTTTGAATATTTTTTTTTATGAAAATTCAATTTCAATAGTCCAATTCAAATACTTAAAAAAAACTTGTCAAATTTCATTGAATGATATAAAGAAGAAGAAAACGTAAAAATAGCAGCATAAAAAACATAAAGATAGCAATCACTGCTTTATGTTTTTTATGCTATTTTACCACTGAGTGGTAATAGTGATAAACTTTCTTGCAGACATTTTAAAAAACATAAAGATAGCAGTCACTGCTTTATGTTTTTTATGCTTCTAGTTTACCACTGAGTTGTAATAGTGATAAACTTTCTCGCAGACATTTTAAAAGAATAATTATTGGGGACAATAATGCATAATCTTTTATAGAAACCATTGTTTTGGATATGAGTATTTTAATAGCATAAAAATTCCTATTTCTAGTAATACACTTATAATAATATATTTTGTTTTTTTTTGTGAATATAAATTTTTAAATAAAAGCTTTATTAATTTAATATAAAATATATAAAGTTGTTGTTTTTTTTGTTGTTGTTGTTTTTTTTAGATAAAAGCTCTTTTTAATGAGATAATATTTGTCTTTTTAAAGGGGTTTCTCGAAAGGTGCCCTATAAAAATTGAGTATGTTCAGATTTTCTAATTTTTTAATTAGAAATTCTCCATGCTTAAGTGTCTAAAAAAAGAAATTTAAAGTTAGTTTTAAAAGCATATTTTTCCAACTTTAAAAAAATATATTTTTTGTATAGTTGCTTTTTGTATAGTTGGTCCATTGCTAATAATTAGCAAGTTATAAAAGCTATACTTTTTAAAAATTTATTTTTCCAACTTTTTAAAAACATATATTTTGTATAGATGTTTAAAATATATATTTTGTATAGTTGTTTGTATAGATTAAAATATATATATGTTAAAAATGTATATTTTGTAAAAATGTACGTTAATATATTTTGTATAGATGATCCATTGTTAATAATTAGTAAGTTGTAATTTTATAGTTTATGTTAATTATTTTTCATTTAGGAATTTTTAAGAGAAGCTCTTGTCATGTCACAGCTTAATCATCCTTGCATTGTGTCTTTGTTAGGTGTTTGTTTGGGTCCTCCAATGATATTGGTAATTTTATTTTATTTTGTTCAAGTTTAGTCAGTTATTCATTCTTTGTATAAGTATATGCACACAATACTACATCTGCACCACCAGATAATATATATATATATATATATCCACATCATGACTTCATCTATAAGTTACTACATGATATATGTATTAGATTATAACTGTTGATGTATCTACAAAACCAAAAAGACATAACTACCCTCAGACAGATAGGATATGACACAGTGCACACCATTTCCAATAAAAAGATCTTATATTTGAAAAAAGTGTTTTTAAAGTGTTATTTTCATTACTAAAAAGTTAATGTTTATATTTCTAAATGATGAATTCCTTATCATGTGTGAACTCAAACAATATAAATTTGAGTTTTAAAGATGATTATTTAAAATCCAAAAACTATTATGGTTCTTTAATAATAAAACCACTAACATTCAAGCTTTATAGTTTTCTTAATTCAACACTTTAACGCACCTTCAACAATAATTCAACTCTATGACCTTTCAATAGCAGTTCAACATTCACTACATTTTTAATTGCTTACCGCAATCCTGGGCATTTCCTAGTGAGGTCTTATGCCAGAAATTCTCCATACATAAGTGTCTAATTTATTATGGGCTCTTTAATTTATGACTGTCACTTCCCAGATTGTTTTGGGTTTTAGTTCACCCTTGTTACTGACCTCTGATTTGACTAGACTTGACATAACACACAGCAATAACTTACTCATCATACCTTATAGTCATATTAAAAAATCAGTATATATAGTGATGTTTAGTGGCTTAGATTTGTGGCATGTTATGACCATTTTATAGGCTTTACCACAGTTGGATTGTCTAGTTAATTCAAACAAATTAATTTTAAATCTCTTAATTAATTTACTACAAAAACAAACTTACACTGTTGTTAAGTTAAACTTACACTGTTGTTAAGTTAAACTTACACTGTTCTTAAATTAAACTTACGCTGTTGTTAAGTTAAACTTGTTGTTAAATTAAACTTACACTGTTGTTAAGTTAAACTTACACTGTTGTTAAGTTAAACTTACACTGTTGTTAAGTTAAACTTACACTGTTGTTAAATTAAACTTACACTGTTGTTAAGTTAAACTTACACTGTTGTTAAGTTAAACTTACACTGTTGTTAAGTTAAACTTATACTGTTGTTAAGTTGAACTTACACTGTTGTTAAATTAAATTTACACTGTTATTAAGTTAAACTTACGCTGTTGTTAAATTAAACTTATACTGTTGTTAAGTTAAAATGAATGTTACAGTACAACAGTATGGAGTATATACAAACTAGAAAAATAATTAGCTATTGCAAAAAAAAAAAAAAAAAAAATTATTAAAATGAACATGTAATAAAATATATGTATGTTGCATGTTTTATTCTTGATTTTTGTGTTAGGTACAAGAGTTGGTTGAAATGGGCGCTTTACTGGATTATTTAATGGATTACCAACCTGAGATACAAGAAGTTGATTTAAAATTATGGGCATCTCAAATAGCTTTTGGTATGATGTATTTGGAATTAAAAAGATTTGTTCACAGAGACCTGGCTGCAAGAAATATATTATTGGCCAACAAAAAACAGGTGTTATATTTATGTTTAAAAAATTAATTTTTTCATGTTTAAAAATTTTGTTTAAGTATAGGGGAAGGTTCAGATTAACAAAGAAATGAAGATAAAGAAGAAAATAAAGATGCAGATCTTATTCTTGTGTATTTTCATTATTCATTTAATGGGTACGTTTCATGGTTTTGAGCATATTATTTGAACTCAGTGACATCTATGTGCACATTTTGTAAGAATTATTCACATCATTAGCCTTGTGCATTAAATATTGCACAAGTTATTCATTTTTATGTTTATTGGAGTTTAGTTAATAAATGTTCGCTTATTATAAATGTTATTCAAAAAGAAGCTTTTTAATGGATAATTAAGTAAACTCTATTTCTTATTTTTAATAATTGTGAAATATTTACTTTGTTGTGTTTTCTTTCTTGCAAGTAATTTGCTAAAAATATAAGTTTGATTAAATTTCTTATGATCAATGTTTAGTTTCCGACAAAATGTGACTAAAGCAATAAACCATTTATGTTTAAGTTGCCATTGTTGAAATCCTAGTTTTATCTGCAAATATCTAAAATTTATACGTCATTAAGATAATTTCAAAATTAGGCTAATATATAAAAACACTTTACTTAAAGTTTTATACTTTTCCCCTTTAAAAGGAGTGTTGCAAAAACAATATGTGCGTCTTTGTTGGTTGCATGATTTTAAGATCATTGATTTCATAAAAAAATAGTTTATTCATTTATATTATTACAATATTATTATTTATAATATATATAAATTATTATAAAAATAATTTATATAATAAAGCAGGAAGAGAGACCGTTTTGAAAATAACTCTTAATATTGTAGCTTAAATTTTTCACTTTTTGTCTTCTAATAGCTCTATGATAAATAATGATAACATAAGATTAATTTAAAATTCAGAATTAAAAAAGGAAATATGAAATTGTTTCATATTTATATAGTTAATTTTAGGCGAACAAGGACCAGTTTATGACCATCAGCCCTTTTCTCTTTCCCATGTATCTTGTTATAATTTATTGAGTCTATAATGTCAATCAAGGTTAGTGCTTCAAAGTTGTTAAAAAAGATTGCAAAAATAATTTCTCAATTCAATAAATTATCTTATTTGCAGTCAAAATGGTATTTCTAAGTATCTTTGAATTGCCTCGATTGTCCTTCTTTGACTCGATTATCCTAGTCAATAATTTAAATAATCTTTACAGTTCTTTAATGTAAATAGTAATATCTTATATAGGCAATCTTTTTTGCAATTATTTTATAGAAAACCTTACGCAAGTAAATGCGGTTGTGCTGTACTGAAATTTTTGTGCGAGAGAATTTTTACTACTTAGGTAGGACCACGTTAAACGTTTTCTTAATAAAACAATCTTGCTCGTCAATTTGTTACAGAGATTTGCAGTTCAGAGATAGGCAAAAACGAGTTGTTAAGCCAAACGATAAGTCAAATCTATAGTTTCGATTTACTTTTTACGTAAAAAATAATTTTTACGTAAAGTATAATTTTGATAATAAAAAATTTTTTTTAGCTTAAACATTTTTATTAGCTTAAACATTTTTATTAAACTATTATTTTTAGGTAAAAATAAGTGACTTTGGACTTTCTCGTGCTGTTGGCACTGGAAGTGATTATTATCAGGCTAAACAAGGCGGTCGATGGCCCGTTAGATGGTAATATTGTTTTAAAAGGATTTAAAAAATCAATAATGGTTACATTTTAAATCTTTTTCTTTTTCTTATTTTCTAAATTTGCAGATCTTGTTAAAACGCATAGTTAGATAATTTATTCTATTGTTTGCAGGTACGCGCCGGAGTCGATAAATTACGGTACTTTTTCCACGAAGTCTGACGTTTGGAGTTATGGCATTACTCTATGGGAAATGTTTACGTTTGGCGATTTACCATATGGAGAAATGACGGGAAATGAGGTATTTTTTTAATGAAAATTATTTTAAACATTTTGTAGTATTTTTTTCTTGATATATTATACATACCTTACGAAAGTTGCAATTAATCAAGATTATTTTTAAATATAAAATGCTTAACTAACTCTAATTTTACGTAGCAAAGTTGGTTGAAGCATTTTATTTGAAACTTTTGTTAAATGCAGTATTTAGTTTAGAAACACAAAACGTATAAATTTTTTAATTTTGTTTCAGTTAGTTTTCTTTAAAATGAAATACTGCTAAACAGAATAACTAAAATATATTTCAACAGGTTGTTAGTTTTTTGGAGCATGGTGGCCGATTAGAAAAACCAGATGAATGTCCTATTCACACTTACTCAATTATGTTGTCATGCTGGCATATTGACCCTAACAAACGTCCTACATTCAATGAGCTGCATTCTACATTTTCAACTGATCCAGAATACGAAGATGTGAGAATATACCGGGACCGGATAAAATAGTCTAATTCATTTTATTCAGAATCTATTTATGAAATTTGATACAAACCTTAAGTATAGTCTAAATTACTTTTCTGATAATATTTTTTATATTTTTTATAAATCATTTCTTTTAATAATATCAACGCATTTTTTCTAATAGAATATTTGTATTATTTTATGATTTTTGTAGTGAATATTTTTTCTATTATTATTATTTTGTAAATATCTTATGTTGTTAATAATCAAAATAGTTTTAATACAAAAATCTAATGAGTTTTATTTCTAACTTTTATAAACTTATCCGAAAATTCTAAAGATGTTTTGAAAACGCCGGAATTAAAGATGGGAAGAGCATATTGATTTTAACGACAAAGAACAACACCAACAAAAATTCCAAAAAAATTATCAAGTAGACAAACCCCGTCTAGGTGGCTCTGATTCTTCTAATAATGGCAATACAACATGGGGAAACCTTTCTGATTCAATATTAATTTTAGAAGTTTTAAATATAAATTATATTCTTCGTTTACGCTAATACTTAAAATAGTCTATAGGGCTTTTATTAACTATGTCTAAACTAACTAATAAATCTTTAAATTCTACGTATAAATTTTTAATCGACTATTTTCGAATCTATTATAATAGTTCGATAGTTCTTATAATAGTTAGTTCCTATAATAGTTCCTAATAATAGTTAGTAGTTCCTAAATAAAAAAAACCCTCGAGACTTGCGCACAAAGAAAAAAGGAAAACTATACGGTTGGCTAAAGTACAAAACAACAAGTTTTCACTCAATAAAACTTCATCATTTAGCATACTAGCAGCAATTCCTTATAGACTTTTCTACGGCATTTTTAAGCTTTTTTTTATTATTTATATGTTTTGCCTTACATATTACATTTATAAGTTTTGTAAATTAAAGGTGTAATATTTACAAGTCTCGTGAGTCAAAATATATAATGAAAATTATAATTAAATAGTACTAGCCGCACTTCAAGAAGATTGTAATGATCCAAGGCGTACTTAAATAACAGGCCTTCTCATCGCGCAACGGCTTAAAAAATGTGGAGGCTGATTTAGTTAGCGGCAAAAGTTACTACGAATAACTTGTATCCCTACCAGAAGACTTTAAAATGCCCAGAAAATGTTGTGTTACTGGTTGTAACTCTAACTATGACTCAGTAAAAGATAAGACAACTACTTTCAGATTACCGAGAGATCCAGTAGAGCGTCTAAGATGGATTAAAGCAATCCCAAGAGAAAATATACCAGACAAACATGACACTGTAGTTTGTGCAAAACATTTTCCACCAAACTTCCAAGTTGTTAAAGTAAAAGGAAGAGAAAGACCTCGAGATCCACCTAGTGTATTCGAACAAATACCCAAGAGTTTAGTGCCAACTCCTCCACCAGAAAAAAGAACAACAACAAAATCCAAAAGCTCTGTAAGATCAATAAAAGAAGATGAACTTTCAAAATTCGAAGAGCTTTACAAAATTGATTCATTCGAAAATTTTTGTAATTCGTTATCTCTAGAAAAACTTAATGATTCAGTTGTTTATTATAATTGTTTAAATAGCTGTTGTATTCAATCAAAAGAGCATGAAAACAATACTGGTATTAATAAATTTTGTTTAATAGTATTTAATGACTTATCATATGAAGCCTATCATGCTGGAGTAAGATGCACTATTGCTTCCTTAGTTAAAAATCGTATTCATAAGTTCAAATGTTGGTCGCAAGTTCATGAGGCATTACGATATTTGATTTCCTTTGAAAAGTCAGAAAAGAAAACAGTTTTAATTCAGCAATTTGAATGCATGAGTAACATGAACTCAAATAATATTCTTAAGCAAAAATATTCGCCTGAAGTAATTGTTCGAGCTTTTGAGTATTTTGCACAGTCACGTAGTTTATACAATCAATTAAGAAATGATTTTCAACTTCCTAGTATTGCTACCCTTACACGTTTAACTTCAAAAGTTTCACACTTTGATGATAATACTTTTATTTGTAGTGTTTTTTCAAAACTCAACAATGGTCAAAAACAATGTATACTATTATTAGATGAAGTTTATGTTAAACCTATGCTAACTTATCATGGAGGACAGTTGTTTGGTAAAGCAGTAAATGATGAATCAAATCTTGCAAAAACTGTATTGGCTTTCATGGTTGTATGTTTTTATGGAGGACCAAAATTTTTAGTTAAAATGTTACCAGTAAATAATTTAGATGCAGATTTTTTATATGATCAAACTATTATCTTAATCAACCAAATTACGAAGGCAAATGGAAAAGTTATTGCTTTAATTAATGATAATAATAGAGTAAATCAAGCATTTTTCAAACGATTTGATTGCATATTTCCATGGTTAACAACTGATGGCATTTTTTTACTCTTTGATTTTGTGCATTTAATAAAGTGTATACGAAACAATTGGATAACTGAAAAGTCTGGTGAAATTGAGTTTAGTTATAGAGGAAAAAAATATAATGCTAAATGGGATCACATCAAAAAGCTTCAAAAGTTAGAAGAAGGTGAATTGGTTAAAATGTCTAAGTTGACTTATGTTGCTGTTAACCCAAGGCCAATTGAGAGACAAAAAGTTGATACATGTTTAAAAGTTTTTTGTGAAGAGACTATAAATGCATTAAAGTGTCATCAAGGTATGAAAGATGATGATATTGATGGAACTATTATTTTTTTAACTAAGGTGGTTCAATTTTGGAAAATAGTCAACGTTAAAAGTCCATCCGAAGAAATCCATTTGAAAGACAACTTACGAGCTTCCATATCATATGTTGATGATTTACGATTAAATGATTTAATTGAGTTTTCTGAAATGTTAAAGCCAACATTGATTCAAGGAAAAAGAATTAGAAGTATAACCATGGATACAAGCAATGCATTATATCAAACTTGTAATGGTTTAGTTGAACTAAGTAAGCATTTGTTAGACAATTCTCAAATGTATGTACCGCTTGGGAATTTTACAACAGACCCCATAGAAAGAGCATTTGGAAAACTCAGACAAGGTAGTGGGGGAACTTATTTTATAAATACTCAACAAGTAATTGAAAAGTGGAATATCAACAAAACCAAACTATTTCTTTAGAAAACTATCAACATTTCAAGTGCTGAGTTTACATCTGGTCATATTTGTGATAATTGTTTTTATAAACTTTCAGAAGATGAGTGTGAGATGTTTAATCATTTACATGAACTTTTAGACCAACTTTCATCGAATATTAAGTCATCTTTAGTTTACATTGCAGGTTATATTTCTAGAAAAGACAATGAAGATGATAACGATGACACTTATCTGTATTATAGTAATTATGGAAATTTTACATCTGCCTTAGATCGTGGTGGTCTGAAAATACCCAGTGATACATTTTGTGAATGGGTATTCTTAAGTTACATTTTGTTTAATTTTGTTGGCACATCAAACTTTTGTAGATATTCTATGTCCTGCTTATTCATGGATATTGCATGTATTTATGGTTTCACCATAATTACAAGAAACCATTGTTATATTCTTACAAATATATTATTTAACAATTTTTGCTATATACATTCACCTGCATCAGACAAGGAAACCAAAGTTAAAGCTTTAAAACTGTTTTGTTAGCTTTTGTGAATAAATATACCATAAAAAGTTTCCAATTTAACTTTAGATGATATTTCGTTTAAAAATTGTTAATTTATATTTTTACTTTTTAATTCTTTCTGTTAATGTTTCATTGTATGCAAATACATAGAAGTAGCTTGGTTATCTTTTGTTATTGTTATTTTTGAACTTACAAGGTGTTGTTTTTTTTTTACTTTCTTGACAAAATAACAATTATTTTTGTTTTATAAACGTTTTTGTAATAAAAATATCGACTTCTTTATAAAATGATAAAATATTATTTAGTAAAAAATGGCATGGTTTAAGCCTTACATTCTTCTTATCCTTAGTTTTTTATTTAATCAGGTTATGCATTTAGAGAAATAGACTAAAATGATCAAATCACAAGCTCCTACTATATTGTTAAAAGAATTTTTAAATATTTAAAACTTAAAAAAAAATTGTTTAATAGTTGAGAGCATCAAAACCAAATCAGCCTCCACCGTTGCGCGATGAGAAGGCCTGTTATTTAAGTACGCCTTGTAATGATCTCATCACGAAGCCCTTACAATGTGATTGGAATGTATTAAAATTATGTTAAATATAATTATATATTAAGTACAACTATTTTTTTATAGTCTTTATATTAAAATAAACTCATAATAAAAAATAAACTCAAAATAAGCTCAAGATAAAAATTAAACATAACAAGCAGCATAATAACTAAAATTGTTGAGAAAAAAATCAAGTTTTTTTTTTTTTGTTTGTTTGTTTTTTTTTTTTTTGCGTGGAATAAACAATTTTTTAATATATTGTTTGAGAAATGTGAGAGCTATTTAGTTAATACACATAAACGAGTCAGTTCACTTTGTAGTTGATATATATGTAATTTAATTTATAGTCTTAGAAGAATTCGAGTATTTATTTAGATTCAGTATTAGATTTTTTAACTTTGTTTTCAAGGAATTTTGATTATCTGGATTGCAAATTGATTTATATATTATTAAGGTGCTCCAAGAAGGCATATCGGTCTTATCACAGAGCATCTTGGGAATATTTAACTAAGCAGTTAACACCTCTTTCCTTACCAATGTTGCTTATCGGGCTACAGCCGGCGTCAAACTACGAACCTATAGATTAATTAATGCTCAATTAAATGTTCAACTGACAATTAAATGCTCATCCGCGGTGCTCTGTGATAAGACCGTAAGGAATCCTTGGGGCATCTAAATAAAAATAAAAAGATTCCGAGTTAGAACTCTAAATACAGCGCCACTGCTAACGACCACGTTTTTACGGCTTTATATACGGTTCACTATGCGTTACTAAGCGAAATTAGAATTTTACTTACATTTTTTAAAGATTTTATCAAGTTTAACTTTTTAAATATTTTCTAACGAAACCAGATTAGTAGTTCCTAAATAAAAAAAGATTATTAAAATTTTACTTTTGTAATAGGGGGAATTTCAGGGTTAAAAAATCACATGTTTTTGGTAAATTTTGAATTGCTTATAAACTTTTACATTATACTTATAAATTTTTAACTTAATGATATATATTAAGTTAACTATATTCCAAGTAAAATCAAAAATAGTTTTTGGGTAAACTTTTTTTCTCATTTAGTTCACTCCGCAAAGTATAATTGATTAAATCATGTTACAGT